GTCCCAATGCATCACCAATACTTCACTTTTGGTATTGTCAGGCTGAATGTAAGGAGAATTTCCACAAGCAATACCACTGTCTATTTCTTTCTCCACCTCAGTAGTAATTTGCGGTGAGGTTTTTTTAGCTGAGAAGCACTGGTGTTAGTGGATGAGAACCCAGGGGTGAAGGCTGTACCCTCCACTGAATCATGAATCTCCCACGAAAACAAAGGAAAAACTTTTCCTTTGGTGCAGTCCCCCTCCCTTCAGGTGGTCAGATCCTGTGACTCTCCCAAAAGCCTTGGCTAAAAGTTCATGTTCCTTGTTAGAGAGGATGCGTAACGATGTGTCAGCAATCCTTGGTCACTCTGCTATTATGAATTTAATGCCTGAGATGCCCCTGGCCTTGACACAGCTTAGTGGTGACACTGAATACATAAGTACTTGCTCACCCAGATGCAAAATCTCCATGTTGGTGGCAATTCCCCAGCATGGTTTTGCTCCAACCTCAACACTTTTTGGAGAAGGTCAGGTTCCCCTCCAGCTCAGCCCACACGGGAACAAATACCCGAATTCCCAAGGGCTTTGATAACCCAGGTGTGTAGGATTGATGGGGCTCTGTACACCCCTTGCCATGGCTCTGCAGGTCAATGGGACATCCTGCATCCCTGTCCTGACATCTGGCTATAGCTAGAGCACCACTCAGCTCACTGCAGAAGACACTTTTATTTTCACAAGGTTTACGTATTATCAGGGAAAGTGCTTTTTTCTTTAGTCCACATAATTACATAAGATCAGGATTTCTCTACAAACGATTACCATCTTTTAAAATGCTTTGCAAGGAAATAAAAGTGATGCCTGCAGTCCTGTTCATTTCCTAGACATACATTCTTGTTAAATCCACATTCCAGATTTTAACTTCTTTTTTTTTTTTTTTTAATTCTGTAAAACACTCCTGCTCTCTTCCTAAATTTGGCTGTGCCGCCATTCCATTTTGCTAATACCCCTTGAAACTGTTAACACTTTTTCCTGAATACTTTCCTAGAGGATACGAAGCAAAAAGGAAGAAAGGCTACTGTCAAACTGATTAAGTGAAAGCTCATTAGAGAAAGTAACAAGAGGTAAAATCTGCATATGCATTGCAGAAATGTGTCTGATCTTGCTAAGTTGTGAAAAGACAAAATAAGCTCAAACCTCCTTGTGCTGTAAGTAGTTGGGGGAGACGGGGGCTGGGGAGTGGAAGGGCTCCCAAACTATGTTGTATTAACTGCTTCTGCTTAGAAATAGGCATTATAGCAGCCCCTGCTCGCACCACTTCAGTGAAGGACTCGCCAGTGTTTTAATGACAAATCCTGATGTATAGGGTCTGTGCCTGAGCAGTAAAAATGCACTATTCCTTGAGCCCTCACAACCTGGGCTGCAACGCAGAATATCTGAAAGAAGTGCAACAAAACTGTTAAAAAAAAAAAAAAAAAAAAAAAAAAAAAGGGAAGAAAAATAAAGTCAGCGGTTATAACTGCATGAATTCCCAGAGCTGAAAGAGAGCTGTTCTCTCTTTTTTTTCCCCCCTCTTCCAAGTGAAGTTCGTTGAATTGTCGGCCTGTGATAGGGAAATGTCACGTTAGCTTTAATGAATGAAGGAGTTGGGTGGTGTGTGTCCCACTTGAGCCTGTTTGCTCTGCCTGGGGCACAGTGGGGGACAGTGGGCTCTGAGTGCTACCTTGACCCTTCATCCCACCCACTCCGAGCCAAGGTTCTACGAGGTCTGCCAATGAACTCTGTGTTTTCCCCATAATTTGTCCCCACTAAGGTTTTTCCCAAAGCCAACAAGCTTGTCTGGCTGCCGAATGGGGATGCTTCAATCCAGCACAGCACTTTGGATCGATGGAGAAGCCAGCTCTTGTCAGAGTGCTCTGCAATGCCATCAGTTGACATTACTTTCTGAAAATATAGATACACTTTTTATTGTTACAATGAATGTGAGCAGTACATCTGCGGGTGTTGTTGTGAGAGGCAAAGGTAAAGGTATCAGCAATACTTGTGCTACTTGCTCCTAAATACACTCACTGTCAGATCTTATTCCCCCTGTCCTTTTTTATAATATATATAACCCAATTAAAAAAGAAGAAAGAAAAGGAATACCAAAATACCGAGCTAAAGTAACTGGATAACTTTGACCTTAATCCATAGAAGACAGATATTTTACGGTTCAGGCTAAAACTCCAGGCTGACATCTAACCTGACACAAATATGCTGTTGAGTGTAAGAGTCCTTGTTAAGAAAATGCCGAGAATCTGCGTGCATAAGCCTGGCAGTTCTGATTTAAATCAGAAAATGGATCTGTTTGGGAGGTAGACCACATGTCTGAAAGTTATGAAAGGGAACACCGATAATAACCGTCTGTGGCAGAGCGCGTTCCTTGGAATGTGGAAATTACTGTATTACAACAAAGCTGTTGTTTCCACCGGGGTGTTTTGTAGCCCGTCTCATAATATTATGTATTTCGGCAGATCCTTGTAATTACAAATTTAAGACTTAAATCCTCAGCTTTTCTTTATGTTCTTAAACTACCCCTATAGGTATCCTCACTTCAAGCTTAAATCAGACCCAAAACACAAGGTGAAACGGGGCTGATTGAATTCCGGCACTTTATAATGATATTTATTAAGCTAGTTTTGAAGAGAAATGTTGAGCCGAGCGTTTCATTTAAATCCAACGGTCCTTCCAAGCCCACCAAAATTGTTTAATTAAAACCAAGGTGCGCATTAATAGGAAAGGATATCATTTTGTCATTTATATGTAATTTCATTATTTTGTTAGGGGAATGCGAAATGAAGAAAGCCCCCAAAAACACAGCAAAAAGGAAGGACCGGTAAGCCTGATAATAGCCCTCCATGGAGAAGAAATAAGTATACAACAGAAGAAAAGCACAGTGAGGAACATAATGTTAGTAAAACACTCTTAATGCTACACAAGCTGCAGAAAATGCTACTTTGCATTTGGGCCGCAGCATCGTTAACTGTGGGCAATTGAGTAAAGAGTGCACCTTTTAAACTAATTCCTCGTGCTGGAGACATAGCCACATCCAGAATCCTACCTCATTAATATGCTATAGTGGTCAAATAGGAGATTAATAGCAAAGTCACCTGCTAAACCTACAAGGAACCTGTTGATTAACAATAAGCTCCAAAAATAAGATACCAGGCTGCAAAGCAAAATCGAGTCCAAGGGCAACAAGTGCTTCTGTAATTTATTCCTTCTTTACACAAGGGCATAAAGCTCCCTTTATAACCGTGTTTTCAAGGCCCTGCTGTGAGCTGTAGGTGTGAGCTTTTCAGCTGATTTATTAATTTTAGTTTCAATCAAAGTGTCACCTGCAGACAAAAAAATGTAGGCCTCGCCATAGAAAATACAGTTAAAAAAAAAAACAAAAAAAAAACCCCAAAAAACAGCAAAAACAGAGTGAGAGAGAGAGGGAAAAAGAGTGAGAGAGGGGAAATAAAGAAGGAGAAAGACCAAAGGTTTAATTCTGAGAATCCATGCCAGCAATATTCTTTTTTTTACATGAGCACCAGACGGCCTATTCTCCACAAAGCCAAAATAATTCTCAGCCACATAATTAAAAAAAAAAAAAAAAAAAATCCAAAATTAAACATTGTTGTCATACTTGGAAAGTCAGCCCCAGAGCCGGGAACTCGCGCTAACCCGGCGGCTGCCAAAACAATCGGCCCCTGTTGTCAGTAGGGGGACATTCTCCCCAACGAACCGCCTGAACAACAAGTCCACAGAGCAAAATGTGCAAAAAATTCTCAATTAGTTGTCTTTATTTAGTGAACACTATGGGGTCCTCGACGGCGCTATAGAATTATGGCAGGAAAGCTGAGCTCTTCAGTGGCTTATTAGCATTCTCCGAGGGTTGGAGTGCTGTTGGTAGCAGACTGGTGCCTCCAAGAGCTGGTGGTGGGACCCCGGCACTCCTTCAGCTTTGTCCTTTTGTCCTTCCCAGCCAGCAGGAAGTACGGCCCGATGTCCGGGGTATTCTGGGATACCTTCGTCTCATTCATGGCTTGCAGCACCAGCACTCCCCGTGCCTTTGTCAGCTGCCACAAGCATCCTCCTTGCCTGGGAAGCAGGAACCCTGGGTTTGCCATTTTAAAAACGTGGTTAGAAAGTGGGTCTGCTCCCTCCTCCTCCTCCTCCCCCAGCAGCTTTCCCAAATGAACATCGCCGTCAATGGGCCGGGGTTGAAGAAGCTAAATGTTATGCTGCCGTCCTATTAAATTACATCAGATGTTATCAACAACCCGCTCCAACGTTAGAGCAAAGGAAGGCAAATGGGGGTAGATGGAAGCATCTCCCCATCCAATCCTTATCTTAATTTAAATGTAAAGTGAATTTTTTTTTTATTAAAAAAAAAAAAAAAAAAAAAAGAGGGGGAAAAATGTTGGGTAGCAAGTGCTGGAAATGTCTTTTCTGAGAAAGAGGGTATTTGCTGCTTTAGGGAAAACACTATCACTGACTAAATTAACAAGTTGTCTTATCAACTGCCATAAGCCTTGAAGTCTAATTAATTTAGTACTGATCAATAGCCTTGAATGAAGCATTGATTTCTGCAGCTTTCTAGGGCTCAAGTAGAATCACATTCTCTGCTCCATCCACGCTCCTCTCACAGGAACCACACATTTGTGTTGTTAATGTTTGTTTCCCCCTCTTCAGTGTCCAGAAAGCATTTCAGGAATTAATTTCCATGGAAGTGCTGATCTTTTAATTTAATTCTGAATAAAGAAAGTGGCATAACCAGAAGAATATACTTCCCAGGAAGTATATTTTTCTCTTGAGTTATATTCTGCTATAAAAATCACTTAAGAGGAAAAAGATTCAATGAGTAGATCATCAAATGGCTTCAAACGTGGCAGAACTATAGAAAAAAATCGATGAGGCTTTCCTCATTGATGCTTACTAATGTGTTGACATCCACCAAAAAGTGTTGTCTTCTTGAATATCTATGATGGGTTCAGCAGCAGGATCTCTGCTCTGCTCTCAAAATAGAGACCTACAGCTTTCTGGAAAGCGTGCTTAAAAGACTACAGCATCAACACAAACAGAGGTCCTCTATCAGTCATCGGAATAAGAACAAAGCCTTTGAACACCAACGTTTGAGCCTGAAACTGCTTAACTGCTGTGGACTTGTTCAAGTTGCCATCAACAGATGTGCCACGGCCACCCATGGAAAATGAGGTCTTCAGTGGGGCCATGCAACTCACTGGAGTAGCCTCATTGGCCATTGGAACAGGCCTCATTGACTAGGATTTTTGTGCTGTCTTTGGCTCGTGGTGATTTGGGCTGGTGTCCCCTAGGGAGATAGAAATGGACTCACTGGTATCCACAGTAAGGATAGATAGGAATAAAGCCTTGGTAAAGAAGACGGGCAATTAATGATTAGGGCCACACATATAAGGAAAGTTGAGCTGAGCCCTAAAGGTGGAAAAGAGAAGTGTGTAAACCCTCCCCTGTATGTCAGCCTTAAGGAGGGCATCCTCTCTGGAGGGATTCTACATCCCTGAAGATGCTCCACTATCAGCACCACAACTCATGCTAGGACACGGGGCTCCCTGTTTTGTCAGAACTACTTATGCCCAAATCCACCAAGACAAAAGAGTGGAGAATGGGCCAAATCCAGCTGGCAGGGTCCCTACCTTACTTCTGCTGGGAAGTGCTTTGACAGCTCCAGTGAGCGGTGAAAGCAAGATCAGAGTCAGGCCCTAAATGCTTACAAATTAGCTTAAATGCCAAACCTGTGTGAGCAGAAGGAGTCAAGCTTCCTGACAGGTCTCCTACAAACCCTGTGCCTCCACCATGCTCCCTGGTGGAGGTTTACTACTTGCTTTCTTTCTTTTCCCCCCCCCGTGCTTCCTCTTGTGAAAGTAGCTGCACTCAACTGGTTCCTGTAGGGAAAAAAGAAAGGGTGTGGGAGAGGCACAATAGAAAAAAAAAAATCTAAACTGCAGAAGAATTACATTTTACCTTTACAAAATTTGGCCCTTTTAGCTTCAAGTTAAAAAAAAAAAAAACAAAAAAACACACACAACAAAAAAACACACCACAAAAGTCCCACTCCTAATCTGTTTGGGGGCCTCCATGAGTTTCCATAGCACTTTACAAAAGATCTTTATTGAAGAAAGGATTGGACAAACTTTCCTTATATGTGTGGCCCTAGTCATTAATTGCCCCTGTCTTCTTTACCAAGGCCTTATTCCTATGTAAATACCCTTGCATAATGTTACAGGCTATTGTCAGGCCAGCGCCAGTCAGTCGCCACTTATATGCATTTTTATTTCAATCCGCTGCGCAGAGAATGAAAAGATGTCTGGACTTAAGCTGTTTACCAACTGGGCCAAAGCTGCAGTGTGGAAGAACTGAAGAAAGCACCAGGCAACTGCAGGAACAGACTTTGACAATGCGAGCAGCCATTTTCAGTTGAGTTATTAACCTACCCTGAAACTCTTCTAATCTATGCCTTTTTTTAAAGAACAAATGTACTGAACCAAACATGAATGAGGCAGCGCTATTAAGAGAGAAATCCTCTAAAGGACTATTGAGCGCAACATAGGTTTGTAATCATTTTGTCTCAGTTGCCTGCTACCAACATTATCAATGATGAAAATGCTTGCTCAGTTGTGGTGGATTGTCTCGTAATTAAATGACAGCGCCGTACTGTAAAAGAACATGCAGAAACACAGGAGATACCGGGGGCTTTCAAACGGGCCGCACGGAGAAAAGGAGTAGGGGTGGGGATGGATTACAAACCCACTTGGAATTGAGAAGGTTGCAATCTTCCTCGTAGAGCACAAGCGCGTTTTTAGGATGGTTCTGTAAGAATAAAGCCTGAAAACGCGCTGTCGCGTGGAGCAGCCTTCAGATAAAAGGCGACGGAACTACGTAGAGGGAATTCTTCCTCCTTTAGGTTTAAGCAAAGCACAAAAATGAGAAATGAAGCCTCGCCTACACTCACAGGAAAGGGAGCCTTATAAGTTTGCTGCGGGCTACATCTTTGTAGTGACTTAATGGCACTACAATCTACATAGCGTAGTATTAGCCTTAAGAAACTCTTGACTATTTGCATGCATATTAGAATCCAATGAGAGCTTAATAAGTGCATATATATGACAGAGGAAACATCTCATTGCATAGTTAAAGCTACAAAAAAACATTGAGGGAGGCCAAGTCTCAAGTTAATTACCATTACAATGCAATCAAGTACGGCAGTCATAGCTGAAAACCTTTTCTATTAAGACCGCTAGGCTCAACCTTGTCTCTGCAGGTCAGCTCCAGTACAGATAACCTTTCCAGCAGACAAATACATGTAAAATTGGCTCATCTAATTAAAAGCTCAGGGAGGTGTAGAAAAATACCAGCACACTGAGCCTGAGCAAATCACAGAGTACCCCCTCCAGCTGGATGGAGCTACAATATGTAGCTGCTGTTTGTTCTGGAAGGAAACTGAGTCACTTACCATTTCAATAGGTTAATCAATTGACAATTAAATGGAGAAATTGGTTAACTCTGCAACAATTAACATGACACTCTATTAAGTACACTTTCTAATTGCCACAGCCGCAAGTGAAAATTAACGGCTGTGTCAAAGCAGCTGCAATAGGTTGTGCTGTTTCTGGTGCTGTTAATGTAATAAAAGTGACTCAAAACACCTGTGCTTCTTAATTTCACGCCCTTAAGCACAGGGAGGAAGGGGTACAGCACTGAGTTCTGCATTTAGCTAATGAACATATCACGTGTTTGTTGTGTATGTGTGTACACTTATTATACAGATACATGCTAAGATATAGGTGTTGGTGTGCATGCACAGATGTATGCTGTTCTTTCAGTATCTGCAGCAGGGGCTGTTGTGACAGGATGAGGAGAAATGGTTTCCAACTAAAAGAGGGGAGGTATAGGTTCTTTTTACAACAAGTGCAGCACTGGCTCAGGTTGCCCAGAGAGGAGGTGGATGCTTCATCCCTGGAGACACCCAAGGTCAGGCTGGATGGAGTTCTGAGTAATGGACTGAGATTTGGGTGTCCCTATTCACTGCACTGGGGTTGGTCCTGATGGCCTTAAAGGGTCTCTTCCAACTCAATTCTATGATTCTGTGACTATTACTTCCACCCTATAATACATATTCTTTTAAAACAACTTTTCAAATAAATAAGAAGCTTCTATGAGTGTTGAAGGTAATACATCTTGTGCACACTGTGAGTGTGATTAGAGGGATACAGGGAGAGACATATGCTTACACACACACATAAATGATAAGAAGGAAATAAAGGAAACTGAATGATCAGCTGACTCAAGAATAGGCAGCTCTATGGTGATTTGGAGAGGTTCTGGTTTTGAACAAATGTCTAGTTGTGGTGGATGCCTTGCCAGGAACCAGAGTAGATACCAACAGAACATGAGCCCTCATGGAGTTGGTGGAAATGTTTTTGCTTTTGCCAGGACAGAAAGATTTGTTTTGTACAAAGAGTTCTCACCTCTTCTATGCAAAGCCTGAAAGCTTTTGCTGGGAAGAGCAATAGGGTATGAACCATACACAGCTACTGAGGGTCAGCTCTTCTTGCTTCAGCAAAGCTGACAGCGGATACCTGCTTCACCCACACGGTGTTTCAGGTTTTCTATCTACAACAGTTGTTTTCCAAAGGGAATCTCAAGACCCATTCTCATATAGGTAACTTTTCTGGTGTTCGCACAGCTTGCATCTTTTGGGGGCTTGGCAAGATCTACTTTTTTGTGGATGCAGTTCAATGATGGGCTAAACCTCTTCTCTATTACATGTAGGTGGTGGGAATTTAAGAACTTATTTACTCAATGGGTGGTGAGGCACTGGAGCAGATTGCCCAAGGAGCTATGGATGCCCCATTCCTGGAAGTGCCCACAGCCAGGCTGGAATGGGCCCCAAGCCCCTTAGACCTCAGCAGGGGTTGGAATTGGATGATCTTTAAGGTCCCTTCCAACCCAACCATTCTATGATCCTATGATAAGCCTTTGCACCATGCTGCTGCTTTCTGTCTGCCTTCTCTGGATGTGATGGGTTGGAGATTGCACTCAAACATGGGTCTCTGTAACCAGCCAGCTCCTAACCTGTTTCCTACACAGGGCTGTATGGGGGACCTACAGAGAATACCAATATGAGGTGCCCTGCAGAGGCTTGTAAGGACACGGTCAGGTTTTCCCAGAACAAATTATATTACTTCTGATCTCTGCTGTGAAAGAAGCAAAGCTGTAAATCCTTAAAGCTAATAGTGCTATAATAGTAATTGTTTTGGTTTGGGGTTTTTTTTTTTAGCCAAAAAAAAGAGGGAAGGACAACATGTTACATCAGTCGCTGGTGTTCAGAAACCATGAGAATTACAGCTTTCCGCAATGAGATGAATTAAGCTAAAAGCCATATTAAGCAGCATTGCACATCTGTTGCACTTTTTTATTATTATTCCATATGTGTCCTTGCTGTATGAAAGTGTTTAATGTTGTTCGGCTAATTGATAAAGTCAAACACTAATGTTTTAACTCAGCCTGAATTCCCATCAGGCTTCAGGCTGGAAAATTCATCTTTCCAGAAACTTGTGTCTCGTGGCTGGATGTGATTTTGCTAGGACAGCCTATTAGCTGCCTCATTTCCCTGCAACGATGAATTTAGATTTGTAACAGGCAGGAAAGCTGCAGGGACAGCGTCTGCTCTTCTCCTTGGTGAACAAAGCCTGTTGTGGCAGCAGGAAGGAGGACGAGGTCTGCCAGGCTTTGCCATCCAGCCCTGGAGAACCTATTGCCACAGGAGAAGACTCTGCAGGTAGCAGTGAGGGTGTCTGATGTGAACTGGGATGTGGTGTTTGAAGGACCTTCTCTGCTGGCAGCTGACCAGAGAGCCCAGCAGTGCTGGTGGCAGCAGTTCAGGCTAAATAAATAGCAAGGAGTGAGACATCAAGGTGAAATCCCAGCCCGGAGGAGTCTGTAGTTGGCTTCTCTGCTGAGAAGAAATCTTCCTTGAAACGCTTTTCCTTGGAAAATATGCTGCATGCATGGTGCAACATCTGGAAATGAAGGGAAAACCCACAGCTTTCCCCTTCCTGCCATGGCAGAGCTGCTGCTGCCATCCCTGCCTGAGTCAAGGGGAGGTCTGTCCCCACGTGCCATGGGTGTAGGCGAACATATAGTTCTAATTGCAGCTGCTTTCCTTCTAATTACAGCTCCGTTTGGTTAGGATTTTCCTCCAATCCCTCATTTCCCCTAAAGCAAACACCAGTGCACCAGAGTTCTAACCCCAGTGGGGACATTTATTAATAACCCCCTCAGCAAATAGGCAAAAAAAATCATTACGCTGCATTAGGAGCTAAAATATTTTCTCACCGCAAAAGCTAATTGATAAAACCAAGCAGACTTTATGGGGCGATTAATGTTAAGATGAAAATAAACAAGAGAGCAAAACAAAAACAGAATCACAGAGAATATGTTTTTTTCTGGCTTGGAGGGTTGTTATGGTGAGGTGGAAAAATACTTGTAGAATCACTGAATCATAAAACCATTCAGGTTGGAAGAGACCTCTATGATCCCCAAGCACAACCCCAGCACACCCCACCATGCCCACATCCCTCAGTGCCACATCTCCATGGCTCTTGGACATCTTCAGGGATGGTAACTATGATCCCACCATTCCTTGTGCAGCTGTGCCACTGCATCACCACTCTTTTGGAGTATAATTTTTTCCTAATATTCTACCAACTTGTCCTCTCCCATTGCTAGAATTGCCTATTTTTTAAAAATTGTTGTTGTTGTTGTTGTTCTCTCTCAGAAAAGCTACCAATTCTGTATTTCACTGTAGAAATTTACAGTGGGATATGTAATCTAGAATTTGTAGCCCCAGAACAAAATCCATAATGTCACTTTAAATAATGATGTAAGATGAAAGGGGAAACAACTTCAACTTTGAGCTACCTCTAGGGCTCCATGGTAGTAGCTGCTAATACAAGCCAAACAGCAAATAACCAGAACAGAAAACCACACCAGCCCAAACACACAGCCTACATAGGAGCTCAGGAGGGCAGGGAAGGAGATAATGAAGTTCCAGGCAAACAAAATGCTTCCTACCTGATATTTTATTCATTTATCAAACAGTATTACCCATTCCTGTCCATGCAGGCAGTGGGAATTTTGCAGGGTTGATGAAAAGCTAACAGAAGTGTGAAAGCTAAGTTCTTTTCTAACTAGCAGTTTACGACTCCATTTGATTCTTAAATTTTTACTTAGTTTAGGTTAGTGAGGCTTTTCAGCAGCTGAGAGCACTGTGCAAGTCCTGTCTAAGGAGATGATGGATACAAAAAGACCTTTGATTTATTCTTTCATAAAATCATTAAGTTTGGAAAAGATCTTTTCCATCTAGCCCAGCCATCAACCTCTCCCCACCATGTCCACTAACCATATCCCTTGGTGCCACATCTACCCTTTTCCTATTGTGGTTTCAAAAAAAAAGGCATAATATCTTGTTTATTAAATAATAATAATACAAGTTCAGATGCATCCTATCCCTATTTGAGGACTCTGCATTGGCTGATGCAGAGAACTTGCTTCCTATACGTCAACACGTTTCCTGGGAAAACTATTCCCACGTCCATTGGGGCAGGCCATGTCGTCTCCTAACACTGAGAGAACTCCAGTGGAGGAATGTGTACTGTGATTCAGCTCCATATGTGGTTGGGCTGCCAAGCAAGTCTCAGGGGACTTGGCCATACTGCATGGAAGGTGGGGCAGGAGCTTTTAACCAGGCATTTCTTGACCCCTAACAAGCAGCTGGGCACACATGGAGTTAGCAGGCTGAAGGTCATTAGCTATTTTAAAGAAGGTTCATCTTTATCTTTTTAAGAAGGTTCATCAACACACTGTGTTCAGAAGGTGATGGTATCTCAAGTTGCCTGAGGGCAACAACATCTGCTCATTCACCTGTAACCCAACTGAGATTATACTTTGCTTCCTACCGTGTGCAGGGCAAACAGCTCATGGTGGCTTGTGAACTGAAGATTTTAAGACATGTAGTTGCTCACTGTCCTTTGGTTCATCTTTCCCATAGGGTCTGTGGGAGGCTGGTCCCTCTTTGAACATCTGGACTGATGACAGCTGCATTCGTTGGAGGAGGAACCCCACCTGGAAAACCAAGGCCAGAGTTAAAGGCAGCACTCAACTCCTCTTCGCCCTTGATGTGCTGGCCCTGCTCCAAGGAGATGCTAAGGTAGCAGTTCATCCAACTCTGCTGGCTCTGGAAGGGAGCTTGGGGTTCCCCAGATCCTTCTTGTTCATGTGTTGGTCCCAGTCTCATCACTTACATGGAGGTTTGCTTGCAGGTGAGTGCAAAGAGAATCCTGGTAGCACTGATGGCATCAGCTGGGCTCTGCTGTTGTGTGGCCTCAGTCTGAATTTCTGAGGAATGGTCTGTAAGTGTCAGGATAAGATGAGAGAGAAAGGAGAATCTGAGCATGGATTTTCTCACCTTCCAAATCCGTGCTAAATTGTCCATGCCAGTGTATCAGCAGATACACTGTGCAGAGTAATGAGCTGAGG